GACATGAAATAGTATTGTTTGTATTTCGATGAATGAGATTGGAGTGTACGCTTTCTCTGATAACATTTGTATGATAGTGTGATAAGAATTCATATTTTTAATCTTCAGTGCCTTTTGACATAGAATCATAGAGCTGGAAGAGACCTCAGAAGGTCATCAAGTCCAGCCCCCCTGCTCTAGGCAGGACCAATCCCAACTAAATCAACCTGGCCAGGGTTTTGTCAAGCCGAGACTTAAATACCTCTAGAGATGGAGACTTTACTACTTCCCTAGGTAACCCATTCCAGTGCTTCACTACCCTCCTAGGCTATGTCTAGACTGCAGGCTTCTTTCGAAAGAGGCTCTTTCGAAAGCATCTTTCGAAAGATCGCGTCTAGACTGCAGGCGGATCTTTCGAAAGAGCAATCCGCTTTTTTGAAAGAGAGCACCTAGCGAGTCTGGATGCTCTTTTTCGAGGAAGCCCTATTTACATTGAAGAACGCCTTCTTTCGAAAGAGGAACTTTCGAAAGAAGGCGTTCTTCCTCGTGAAACGAGGTTTACCGCCATCGAAAGAAAAGCCGCGTTCTTTCGAAATAATTTCGAAAGAACGCGGCTTTTCTTTCGATGGCGGTAAACCTCGTTTCACGAGGAAGAACGCCTTCTTTCGAAAGTTCCTCTTTCGAAAGAAGGCGTTCTTCAATGTAAATAGGGCTTCCTCGAAAGAGAGCATCCAGACTCGCTGGGTGCTCTCTTTCGAAAAAGCGGATTGCTCTTTCGAAAGATCCGCCTGCAGTCTAGACGCGATCTTTCGAAAGAGGCTCTTTCGAAAGCATCTTTCGAAAGATCGCGTCTAGACTGCAGGCGGATCTTTCGAAAGAGCAATCCGCTTTTTTGAAAGAGAGCACCTAGCGAGTCTGGATGCTCTTTTTCGAGGAAGCCCTATTTACATTGAAGAACGCCTTCTTTCGAAAGAGGAACTTTCGAAAGAAGGCGTTCTTCCTCGTAAATTGAGGTTTACCGCCATCGAAAGAAAAGCCGCGTTCTTTCGAAATTATTTCGAAAGAACGCGGCTTGAGTCTGGACGCAGGGGAAGTTTTTTCGGGAAAAGGCTACTTTTCCCGAAAAAACCCCTGAGTCTGGACACAGCCTTAGTGAAATAGCATTGCTAGTATTTTACTTAATGATACTGTGGAGCATACACTTTCTCTGGTAAGATTTTCATGCAAGTAATCCACTTAGTTACTATGCTTTACATTACATTTTTATTTCACCCCCTTGCTTTAAAAAGTACTGAGCTGTGTATGCTGCTTTCCTCTTGCTAAAAAGCTACAAGAAGATTCAGTCCATTAGTAAAAATGTTAAGGCCTGCAATTCATAGAATAAATGTCTCAATTTCTGTCACTGTAATTCGTTTCTGCCAAACTTTAATCTGTCCAGCTGTAAATCTTCTATTGCTACATATTTCTGCATTTCTTTCTTAATGTAAATGAGATCTCATTTCCCTATTGAGACCTCCAAGCCTATCTATTTGCAGCTACATTGAAAGACAGTTTAAGTTGCAGAGGGATAGGAAACTTTTGCTTTTGTCTTTCTTTTCCTCCTAAAAGGGAGGCAATGTACATGAGTCTGTTAAAATAAGATTGTTGTGTAAAGCTGCTGAAATTGTCTTCTGTTGCTTTTTCCTGCCTGTTGTTAGTGTTCTGTTGCTCTCATCATCCCTACAAGCAATTTGTTCTGTGTTCTCATACTGTGCTAATCAAACCGCTACAGTATGCTAGAGATTGTCAGCACACCTGCCAAACTTTGTGATAGTATAGTCAGCTGAACAGTATAGTTTGGCCTATCTTATTTACTTGACAAAAACTAGTGGAAATACCTAGACCGGGGTCAGCAGCCTTTCAGAAGTGGCATGCTGAGATTAACTTTTTCACTTCTATTTATGGGTCAGTGTGCTGTTGATACATTTACTGGCCTTAATGCAATACAATGAATATACCATGTATGAATTAGTAACACAGGATTTTAAAAAATCATTAAGATGCAAGTTTTAGATATCTGCAACACTCCAAAAATTCTGGTAAAAGAATCTTTTTCTTTCTTACCTTAAGCCATGAAGATCTATGTATACTTTGTTAGAAATGTAATCATGCAAATGTCCTCCTAGCACCCCCCCCCCCCATGCAGTCTGCTTTCCTCCTCCGCTCCAACCCAGCCAGAGAGGACTGCAACAAATGAGTCAGATACCCCAAATAAACTGTCCCCTGTTTCTACCTCACTGCACAGATGCTAGCCTCACAACACAAACTACCTCACTGTCTCCACCTCACCCCAATGCCAACACCCACCCACTCCCTATTTTCCCCACTTACCTCATGCAGTCTGCTCCTTACCTCCCCCTTCCCAAGAGGCTTGAGAGGGCTGTGTTTCAGCCTCTCATTCCTACACTCAAGGGATTCTTCAAACTCCCTTCCACTCTGACTCCTCCTCCCAATTACCCACTCACCTACTCCCTCACTCCTCCTCTGCCTGCCTAGCCATTTATTCTCTCCTTATTTTGCTTTTTATTACCTGCTCTGAGAGCTGATCCGTTTCAAGCACGGAGCAGCTGGGTTTAGCTGCTTGCTCAAGACAACACCCTGCCCCCACTGAGCTTCCTACCTGAGTGGGAGCTTTGAACTTTGGAGCAGAGCTCTGAAAACGGTTGCACAGGCAGCATAGCTTAGAGGGAACTATGGTCCCCTGCCACTGGTCCTCTCAGCCTTTTCCCCTCCCTGTCACTGGCTTCTTTAGCCTCTCTGTTGCCCAAGTGACACAGTTACCCCGGACCAGCTGCCATAACTGCTGCTCCAGCCAGCACTGCAGCTGGCATGGCAGCACAGAGCCCTATCCCTGCTGCTGGGGTATTGTTCCTGGTGCTGGCTGGTGCACAGCCTCAGCCTGGCTGCTGGCCTGCTGCAGCCTCTCCACCTGCCTCCCAGAGCTGATGCTGAGGCTGAGTGCTGGCCACAAGACTCAAGCGGCAGCACAAGCTCTCCACTTCATGGAGGAGGGATGGGACTGAATTCCCACCCCACGTGCCACTGAAAATTGGCTCGTGTGCCGTAACATACCGACCCCTGATCTAGACTGTAAGAAAGTGTGGAATTTCCTAGTCCCATGTCAGTTCTGGGAATGGGCTTTTTAATCTTTCTTGCATCTTGGTGAAACAATCAGTGGAGGTACAGGGGGAATAAATGAAGACAATGCAGTTAGCAAACACTAAATATCTCAGACTATGCTCTCCGTAGGAAAATGGTGCAGGAAATAATGGTGTGCAACAATGCTCCCTACAATTTCTTTTGTACAATTTCCACAGGTATGGAATAAATCTTGTTATATGTACTGAGGCATGTGTGGCTCTGCCCCACTATGTGAAAAACATGGTACCAGCTGTGGTCAGTCTGTCAGTCATCTGGGCATAGGGTTGCCAGGTGTCCGGTTTTTAACTGAACAGTCCGGTATTTGAGCTTTCTGTCCAAGAAACAAATTGAGAAAATACAGGACATATAAATGTCCTGTATTTTCTAATGAAGAAAGTTTTATTATTATCATGAGTATCAGTACGTAGTTGCGTACTGCCTAGCTGGTAGACATGCCCCTCCCTGCCTGAGTGTGTCTGCCAGCCAGGCAGTTCGTGACGACTCGAGGATGGTTATGGGGGGGAGGGGTCAAAATAGAATCCCCGGGGACGGACTCACTCGTGCCCAGTCAGTCCCATTTCCCCCCGGCCGATTCGCCCC